TGCCTCATAGGGTTCCCTTTCTTAACTGTTACTTCCTTCCATTTTCTCTCCAGTCCAGTTGTGGCCTCTGAATGTCATCCACAGGAATTTAGATCTTTCAATAAATGAGAAGGCATTTGGCAGAGTAGAAACCTTCCTTACCTGGGAGTAGTCAGGCCCTGGGATTTAGTTCTGGCTCTGCCACTAACTCCCTATGTAGTAACTTATTCTTAACCTGAGTGGATTCAATTGCTAAGATGCTCTTCTCTCCTACTCCAAGAATTTAAAATAGGCCTTCTTTGTTCTATGACCATGCTATCATCTAGGACTGCTGAATGAGATACCCTATGCCCTTTCATTCAATTCAGTGGATCCATACTACTATGTATTCTTAGTTCTATGTCTCTTTTCTGTCTTCTGGATGATAGATGCCCATCTTTTAACATTTTTGCCATTTTCTTTTATAGTTGTTTTTTTTTACTTTTGATCAGATGTACAAGCTAAGTGACCCATTAGGTTCTAATCTGAAGAGTCTCTCCTGATGAAGTGAGCTCCATGGACTTTCAGACACTACCACTTCCCTTCTCAGTAGCCTATTGTGTGTACTGTTTGCTTTTAACTGGGTTCAAAGGCTTTAGTTGTTGCAAAAGTGACATCCTGACAAGGGTGGCATCAAACTACACAGAGTATTACATTATTTAACAGATCTGCAAATAGATCAGCAGCCTCAAAGCAGCAGCCAAAAGCAAACAGATACAGTGCAAAGATTTTCCTTAGCTCTCTCTCCTCTGTAGACCTGGGAGCTCCCTGGTAAGAAAGCAGACATACCTCTCAGAGTGTGGAGTGTTGTCATATGAGGGTTTCTTCTCCATATCAAATGAGTCCTCAATACTGCTGACACTTGGGAGTGTGATGGAGGAGGACGGAAAGAGAGCAAAAGATGAGAGCCACATCACTATCAGTCATGCATAAGGGACACTTATTAACCCTGTGATCACAAACTGAGACATGACTACAATGACAACCATCACCTGTGATCCTAAATGGCACTTATTGTCACAGGGGCTGATGGCAAGGAGGCACAATTCTCATAGTGGAGAGCTCTTTCATGGAGGACAAAGAAGACTCCTTGTGGTAAGGGAGGAGACAAGAGGGGGTGGCTAGGATTCTTGAGGTCGGTTCCACTGACCAACAGAAAAAGACTATAGCTTTTCTGCCTGTGTATATGTCTGGGTTACAGTGTGACAATTACCAGGAGCCCATTCACAATTGAAATCAGATACCGGGGATGGGAAAAATGAAAGAATCATTCAAAATGATATGTATGCTGGGTTATAGGGTGGAATTAAGGGTGAGATGTCTTTTTTACTTTTGTGTTTAATTTTCATTAATATTTCATTTTATAATAAAAACTAATGGCTAAAAATATTGACAGGAAGGGACAACTAACTAGCTACAAGCTCTGAGACACCCATTAATGAAGCTGTCATTTTCCTGGGAGCCTTGGTGACCCTATGGGGGATTTAGGAATCTGTTGGTCAGAGGTTAAGCAACCTGCCTAAGATCAAGCTCAGAGTAAGTGGTGAGTTAGATTTTCAGCCTAGGTCCCAGCTTCTTCTTAGTAGTAAGTTTATGTCTAAGTTTCCTGAAAGGGAAAGCAGAAGGGGAAAACACAATGGACTACACAATTCTCACTGCCTGCTAGAAAAGTCTATAGGTTTTTCATGATACATAACATTTTGACTAATTGTCAAATTCAATTTTAAATAAACTTAATTGTCAAAATCCAAGATATAAATTTAATAGACTGATGGGACTAGGAGAAGAAAAACCAGGTTATGGATATAATTCAGTTGAGCAAGACTTTGGCAAAAAAATAAATAAATAAACTCCCATGGCTATGCCAGAATTATTTCTCATTTCAGAACCTTCTTGCATAAGGTGACAGAGACAGAAATGATGAGAGGGTGACCAGGGATGGAGGTAGTGGTAGGGGTCTGCTAATGGATCTGCAGTTTCTTTTGCGGTGATAAAAGGTTCTGGAATTGGATAGTAGTGATGAATGCACACTTCCATGAATATACTGAAACCCACTGGGTTATATGCTTTAGGGGCAAATTATAAGTCAGTAAAGCCACTGAGAAAAACCACCCTAAGAGATTAAAGATGAGGAGATTAAAGATGCTCAGGGAGGTTGAGCACCTTTACCCAAAATGAATCAAACAATGGAAGCTGAGCTGGGACCTGAACATCATCCTCATGCCCATGGATCATCATTCCAGCCCCATGGAAAGCTGGTCTGGAAGCCTTAGAAGTCTAATCTTGAAACAAAGTCATGATGCCCATTTCTGTTTACTAAAATCCTCACCCCTGCAGTGAGATGATATGTTATAAAAAACATTTCCTGAAGGACCCTGTCTCAGTGTGGCTAGGTGGTAAATCATTGAGATGACATGGATGTACCCTTCCATATGGTCTCAGAAAACAAGCAGAAGAAAAAATGATCAGTAAAAAATTGCACATATTAAAAAACCAAAAGACAAACAAAAAAAATTGCACATATATCAGGCACTGATCACATGTTCATTCAAATGAGGCTCCTGGCATTAAAGCACATGTGGGCTGAAGTCAGGAGTCCTGATCTGGAACAGGATAGAATTAACTAGATGGCCCATAAGGGTCCCACCAATTCTGTAAAAAGGGACTCACTGAAGACTTCACAAAAGAAATCAACAAAAGCACACAGAAAGGGAAGGAACTGTATATGGGGTGCAGAATGAATTAACTGTTAAGGGACAACTCAAAGGCACTCAATTAGGTAGAACACCTGAAAATGCATAAAATCACATCAGTGGCCAATTATACCAGTTGTCCATTCAACAAATGATTATCCAGAAACTACTCTGGGCTGAGCCCTGGATGAAGTACTGGGGATGTAGGAATAAGGACAACACAGGGCCTTGAAGAGTCGGGATTGCTCTTACCTGCCATAGCATGAAGATGCCGGCTTCCTAGAAGACACCTCCGTAGCATTCATGTATTCCTTTACAAACAGAATCCCTTTGCTGCAGAATGAACACAGGAAAACAAAACCAGGTATGCTAGTAGATTCCAGGGGACTGGGTGTGTCCTATAGGAGGGGCCAGTCCCCCAGCCTCATTTGAAGTAAGTGCAGAAACTCATGGAAAGGCCTAGGGCAGAGGTGCTGGTGGCCCTCATATGTCAGGTTCCAAGGGAAGGAATAGACAGAGCAGCTGGCACCACTATGGATTCAGGCTAAAATCTTAGCCCCTGGTTCAGTTTGTGTTTGGACTGAGAGCTCTACAAAGAGGCTTTTACTTTCTGCCTCCATGCAGACCTCAAGGCCCTTACCCTCTACCTAGACATCTGTACTTCAGTCCAGCAGCTTTCTACCCCTCCTCAGTGGCTACAGTCTTCTTTCTCTTTTACGCATAACCAGGATATCACCCAAGCCTTAACCATAGACTGCCAGTCCTTTCCATTTGGTGCCTTCCCTGGAGGTACTCAGCTACTGTCAAATCTAACTTCTCTGTTATTACTCTTGGAATTCCAGAGGCCTAGAAGTCACTAATCCTGTACAGGCCTCTTGCAGCAAAGGCAACAAGGTCTCTTCGTGCTGGGCTCAGCATGGCCCCCAATTTAGCCCTCATTCTCATGCTACACACTTCAGCCTGCTGGCCAGGTATCAGCAGAGTACTCTCTGTTCTCCCCCTCAACATAAACATCACTCAGCAGACTTCCTGCAATATCATCCCTTCCCATAGGCTAATAGGTAGCCAGAAGTACAGGTGAGGCAGTGGTCATATGAGAGAGACAGACATAGGCCTGTCCTTCATTTGATTTCCTGGGCATGTTCCCCAGGGGTTTTAGAAAGGTCCTACACATAGCAGAGTCCTGGTGCTAGCTGTATCCACTTGCTCTAGATGTGTCATCTCAGTTTCTTGTTGGGATAGAGAGAAGGGGGTGAGGGTACAACAGGACCATGTCCAGGTCTGCAAATGGGCCTGGGTGCCTAAGAATTACACTGGGGAGACTAAGACTATATCAACCCTTAGCTAATGGGTGGCTAGGCATTACAGGGAGAAGCAACACAGAACAAAAGTTGAGCCTTTTACCTCCAAGGAGGAACTAGGAAAAACCTCTTTGCCCAGAAAACATTTCCCTGGATGCTAGGTATGCCTTCTTACGTGGGTGAGCTGGAGTCCAATTCACTTGGAGGGGTTGGAATATAAATGTGAGGCTGCTCAGAAGTGGCAGTGACGGTAACAGTGACCATGCAGCTTGATGGACTTCTCACCCTGAAAGAAATGGAGGAAGGGGTGGACATGTGTACACAGAGACCTGACACCTTCCTGAGTCAAACAGGTTTTCTGGCCTAATCTTGAGACTGCCTCTTCAAGAGGTTTGAACGAATCCTGGTGTTTTTGAAACAATAGCTGGAAATCACTCAATCATTTGCCCTTTTATATATGCATTTTTTCTATTGATTCTGGAATACATTTCCTGAATTCCCATCTTCTATTACTGTAAATTAATTGTACAAATGGGTTTCATTGTGATACCTACATATATGCATAAAATGTACTTTGATCTAATTCACCCATATATACTACTCTTTCTTAACCTCCGTTCCTATTCTCCCCTCTTTTTAAAGTTTTTAGTAGGTTTCATTATGCTGTTTTCATAATACATATAAAGTACTCAGATCATATTCATCCTCCATCACCTCCTTCCCTCTCCCCCTTCCAGTAGCTCCCGCCAAAGAACAATCCACCTTTTATGCCATCTCTCTCTCATCTCTTTCTCTCTCTCAATCCCTCTTCAATCTCTCTCTCTCTCTCTCTCTCACACACACACACACATACACACACACGAAGATATAGATTCCTCATTTGCTCTTGAAGTCTCCTCAGAGATTAGCAAATGGAACTTTCACTTTACAGATGAGAAAAGCAGGCAGGGTGGGTGGAGACACCTTGAGTCAGTATTGTAAGACCTCAATCTTCGAATATGCAGTCTGAACTCCTGACTGCAGTTAAGGGCCTTGGCTTCTGTGAATCACTCATGGGGTGACCAGTGATATGACAGTCAGGAGGGAGAAGGGGAAGACACAGTCCAACTTGCTCCTAACTCAATGGAACAGTCCTCTTCTAGGTCCAGCTCCCCTACACACATTCTGAAGAGAACTCTTTGGAGAACACAAGGCCAAGGGGGCAGAGAGCCAAATGAGTTTAGGTATTAATGAGGAGGAAAGTCAGATGCACCTCATTCTGAAAGGTACTTGCCATACCTTGGCTGCAACAGATTGCCCTAGTCCTGAAATCAAACCTACTAGGCAGCTCACAAGGGCTTTCTCTGCCCAGGCCCTTACTCACTCTCACTCTGCATGCTCTGTGCCATAGCCCCATACCCAAAGTAACCACAGTGCCCACTGCAGTTCAAGGCATTCTGTTAGGCACTGCAGTTCTCTGGACAAGTTCTCTCATGGCTTTACAGGTAACACATGAGGGCCTGCCCTCCCACCACAGGTTGTAAGGACAAGGCATCCAGTGTCCCCATGTCCATTCCTACACCACCCTGTGATGCAGGGATGCACCATGGAGGTTGGAAGAGGCGGACTGGATGGGAAAGCAGACCCCACAGGAACATGGAAAGAGAGATGGATAAAATGCCGAGCCTAAGAATAAGAAGAGAATTTCTGACAAGAAGAAGAAAATAAGAAACCTCTGTGGACTGAATAATTATAAGGTCTGGCACCCTGTGATCCATTTCTAGAAGAATAAACAGTGGGATAGCAGAACTGAAGGGGTAAGGTTTAAAAATCCCAGAGGGACTCCACCAGGACTGCAACATGAGCAATAAAAACCCTCATGTGGCCCTGATCCTTCTTCCTCCCAATAGCCTCCTCCCTACCCTATAAGACCCAGCTCTTGCCCTGTTGACCTCACTTTCTACCCTCCAGTCACATATCCCATCTTTCAGGACCTCCTCCCCTCCTTATTTGCCCAAGTTGCTTTCTCCCAGTCTATTTACAAGGCAGGCTCCTCAAGCGTTTTAGGTCTCAGGTGAACTGTTCCCTCACAAAGGTCTTCCCTGACCATCCTGGATACAATATGCAGGTCTGGGCCCCTCCCCATCAAAGCACCACAGTTTTCCTTTCTTGGCTTATCACAAATAGAGACACAGTGTGCACATCACAGTGATTAACAGTGCAGGCTCTGGGCTCTGTTTGAATTCTAATCTGTTAGGCCACTTCTTGAAACTGAGACACATGGAGCAATCACAGGTCAACGCAAGGCAGTGGGTCAAAATCAGGTACGACAGCAGGAAAACAGCCAGGAAGTAATGAGGGAATCTTAAGAATAAGGGAATTCCTACCTTGGATCAGAAGTCTCTACTATACATTTTGCTGGGGTAAGGGCCAATGGTGGGTTCCCAGGAACCGAAACTGGACATGAAGACCAGAAAGTTCCATCAGAGATGGAGATGAAGGTCACCTTGCAGGAATAGGGAGAATGTCATCAACTCATGACATTCTCTCCTGCCCTCTATGTCCTGCTCATATAGATGCAACAAACCTGAAGTGTTCCAGAGACCACACTGTATCTGATCCATGAACTCCAATCTACCTTGGATTTTTATAAGAATTGGCAGAATATTTAAGGACGGTGGGCAGTGTTATACTAGATTACTTACAAAAATACTTCAAAACGAAGTTATTTTCCACTGTGAAAACATATTTTGCAAGCTAGCTAGGTTTTCAAACTTCAAATATCATGATTTGGTATGGACAGATACTACTGCCCTACTGAAATCAGGAGCCAGAAAACTCCCAGTTTGGAAGACCTGAGATGATTGCAGGAAGCACATCAAGAGGCCAGTATCATCTGTTCTCAACTGTCAGGTTCATCCTTGGTCCTTGGCTTCTCTCATCAAAGTCATGGACCTTGTTTCCACAAGCTACTGCTGCCAACCTCTTGCAACCACTGCCAAACCCTAGGTCACCACAGTGGAGGTGAGTTACTGCCCCAAAGCTTCCTGTGTGACTGTTCTCATGGTGGTGGCAAGACGCCCACACCAGGGCATACCTTCCTCAGACACCTTCCAATTCCATGAATGACAAAAACACCCCATATGTCCCTACCCCAATCCATGTTTTCAGGCTCCAACTGGCTTCTGAACAACATGATTCTCTGTTAAGCTTGGTCTGAGATCTAATGCTATAGCTCCAAGGAAAAACCTGTGGAGAACTGCTCCTGGGATGTTCATTCATGGTCTGTTTCCCTATGCCTCCTAGTCACTCACATCTGCAGAGGAAGCAAAACAGGTCTGCCTAGTTGTGTGTATGTATTTGTTCTGGTTTGTGGTCTCTGACAGAAACCCCAGCTCCAGCCAGCAGGAGCCCAGTGCAGCTAGGACTTCACCTGCTGATGCCGTTCTCCAGTTCAATGAGCTGCTCGGGTCCACTGGGGCTGCTCTGATGCTCTGAGGTGCTGGAATTTGCAGCAGCTGTGTCTCCCTGGCCACCTTCTAGGGTTCCATGTCTCTCCTGCCAGGTCTCACTGACTTTGGTGACTACATTCTTCACCTCATAACCAGCTGAGATCCTAAGGAAGAATGAACAGCATTGGAGGGAGGGTCATGGAACTAGTCCTTGCTCACCCTCTGCACACTGGGTATCACTTCCCATGGGCATGGAGGGCTCATCTCCTGAGGGTGCGGCAGAGAGAAGCCAGGTATATCCCCAATCCCAAGGAAGCAGGCAATCTTCTCTTATAGAAGACTTTAGCCCTGTTACTCCCTTGTTACTGGAAAAGGCAAAGTACACCTAGTAACTTCAATGAGGTTAAAAGACAGTTTCTGGCTGGAAACACACTGACATCGCTATACCTCTCCTCCCACTGCCATCTTTCCTTTTTCTAATCCTTCCCCATTCTAACCTATCTGCCTCCTTTAAAAAGATCTAAACTGTCCAGCCTTCTCTAAATGCCACGGTGAGTACAGTGTCCAGGCCTGGCAGAGGCCCCACAACCTGGGAAAGGGTTTCGACCCAGGCTGCTGTGGAGGCTTTGACAGAGACAAGAGAGTAGGAGCAGACCTTCAGCATGCACTAAACTCAAACAGGCCATGGATGCCACAATAGGGGGATGGGCCATGAGAACTGTTTCAGGGCAAGACCCAGAAGTCGTTTGTGATCTTCGCGCGCCATCTCGTGGCAGGCGTGGAAATTGCCTCAGGAGCCGATTTTGCCCCAGCAGCCATTTTGCCTTGTGGACTGTCCCGTTTCCCTATTAGCACCAGGCCATCTTGTGGCTGCAGGAAATGGCGGCATGCGCAGGCGCAATCATGCGGGACTAGGTGCAGAAGACTGAGGAACGCAGGCACAGGCACAGGCGCACACAAGTATTGTGGCCACTGCATTTAGAGCTAGGCCCTCCTTGCTTTGTTTATTGTGAAGTCACCAGGCAGGCAGGATAGATCAGAAGCCAGATGTGCGAAACCAGAGCCAGGAATTCAGAAAGACACTGTATTAATAGCTTGATTAAAAGGACACAGGCAGTACTTTTTTTTAAAGCTTTACACTGCCTCCTTAGCTGTAACATAAAGTTTAAGAAAAAAAAAAAAGCAGGTCTCGCCCTCTGACCTTTCCCAAATAAATTAGTACACTCTGGGAACTGAGCAGGGGACATCTTAAAGAAAGACACTTATCCTAGGGGGTGGAGGGGAACATTTAGTAAAGTGACTATTGATCATAAAGTTTATGCAAAGAAAAATATTTACCTAAAGGATGGACACCTTAAAAACAACTTTTAAAAGGAGCATCAGGTAAAACCCATCCTTTGTTTGAAGAGATGCTCAAGAAAAACAGACATCTATGTCACAATGACTCAAATTTAGTAAACTGACCAGACACGGTATCTTTGGGCCCAACAGATCATGTCAAAACAATGTAATTATAATAATCACTAAATGTACCAAGTGTCCAGAATAAAGGAGCACACTTGTCCCAGGGTAACTTAAGCCCAAATCCCTAATCTACTTTTTCACCATAAATACACTGCACTTATCAGTTGTGCCTACACCCACATTTGGGTTGTATACTATCCTTACTTTGCTTTGCTTCAGTAATAAACTTCCTTAGTCCTTACTTCAGTATGTCCTAAAATTCTTTTTTGTGACAATGTCACAAACCCAGTACCCAAGGGCCAGGTAGAGGCCTTCCTTTTGGAGACCTCCTCCCTGGAGCCTAATTGGTAACTGTCACAGCTATTACTACAAACCAATAACATTTCATTCTGTTTTTGAAGATGAAAATCTAGGTAAGTGTCCACTTGCAGCTAATAAAGGTCAGGATGGAACTTCGTCATCCTGCCTGTTGTCCCATAAACCACCCTCACCTCATTTGAGCTGATCATGTGATGGCTACTACACCTTTGGTGTCACTCTCTAAGAATGATGGTGGGGTGGAAGCTATGATGAGAGCTCACCACTTAAATGCCCTGTTTAAAAAGTCTCCCTCAAATTTAGTCCTACCATGCCAGCTCCTCCTCCCCTTCCAACAGCCAAACTCTGAGAAAGATCTGTCTCTACTCACTCTTGTCCCTTCTTACTATAACATTCCACAGAAGCTATTACTACTTCCCAAACTATCTGTGCTGAATGACCTCCCTCCATCTGTCTGGGAGCCACATGTTGTCTTACAATACACTCCCACACCATGTGACTCACCACAGCACCACATATGGTCTGTACCCTGTACCACATTTGGAGGTCTTGGCAATGTCAACGTGCCACAAAAGATTATAATACTCTGAATTTCTGTACATATCTTAGCTCATCACAAACCATCGTGAGGGTGGGGTGGCTGTTTTATCACATGGATCACTCAGTTGATCATTTGTCTAAACATTCTTACAGCTATTCTCAGGTCACTGGTAAGTTTTTTTTCTGCCATAGCAGCACACTAGTTGGCCTCCTACTCTCTGGGCATTCCTCACTCATTTCGTTGACAGGCTTCTCTTCTTGACAATATGGGTGCTCCTTTAGGGCTCCAACCTTTATGTCTTTTCTTCTCACTTTATGTGTGTTCCCAGAACAATACTGCCCACTCCCACAGCTTCAGTTGCCACTGATATACAGAGGACTTCCAAATGTCTATCTTCAGTCCAGACCACACTCCCAAGTCCAATCACATTTGTTTATGTATTGCTTCCTGGGCCTCACTCTTACATGTTCCATAGGCATCACACTTCAATGTCCCCAACATATGTTCTTCCACTTCCTTGGTTGAGTTTGAGGTGAGTAATGCCATTTTTTTTTAGATGAAGAAACACAATGGAAGATGCAGAATTAGTGCATTAACATGTTTTATTTGGTTATTTTTAGTTGGAGACTATGTGTCAGGAAAGATGGTTTGGGACCTGCTGAGTTGTGAAGGGTGGCAGAGGCCAATAACACAGCCCAGTGAAAGTACACACAGGCAAGCCTGTTGCTCTTGCTAGCTGTGTTTCCCATTGTTTCTTAAGGATCTTGTGCCAGAAACTCAAGGTGAGTTATTGCCAAGAGAATATGTGTTTACAACTGTCTGTTTCTTACCCTCTTCTTTGCCTTGATCATATATTAGGTAGGATTCTTTCTTCCTCGCAAGTCCCTAAACTTCAGCTTGCCCTTGTTTATTCAAGCCCTAAATGCAGAACATGCTCCACTTATCCCAACAATTGGCTGACCATAGGACACATTTTTTCCTTAACATATTTCCAGTCAAAAATGTTTTAATCACCTTTGTTTTTCTTGCCCAAGTGTCTCTCAGAAGTAGCTGCTAGCTCTGCTTACCTCTTCCTGTCAGAAAAAGGCCTTTTTGCTTGATTTCATAATGTGTGCAAATCCTAAGGTTGCAGTGATGCTCTTCCTGTGACAGTCATTTTAAAAAAACTCTCCAAGGGCTGGTGGAGTAACTCAAGTGGTAGACCACCTGCCTAGCAAGGTGAGGTCCTGAGTTCAAACCCCAGTGCCACCCAAACAAAACAAAAAATTCTTCTTTTCTAAACTTGTTTTTAACCAAATTGAGTCATTCTCCTGAAAAACTTTATTTCAACAGTAATTATGTTTTATATGTCAGCTTAAAGATGGTTTCCAACATCTTTTGGTAACTTAAAACCTTAGACTTATGCTAAATTAACTTAATTTAGTTAAATTCTTATGCTAAATTAAATTATATAATAAATATTTGTTACATACATAGATAATTTCTAAGTAAGATAAAGTACTTTGTTACTAAAACATACACAGATAATTTCTAAGTAAGATAAAGTACTTTGTTACTAAATCTACTCTTAAATGTACATACTTTTTCTTCTTATTGTCTATGGTGCAGAGTCTATATTTGGATCTGCTACTCAATATATTAATTTGCCCATACTGAAATTATAGTATTCAAAGTATGTAAGTGTAAAAGGTATGAGATATCGACTCATAAGCTTTACTATTTTTGCTGTAAATTACTGGTGTGACAGTTCAAAATTACCTACTTATTTGTTTCTTCTGTAAAAATAGAAGTTATTAATGGTTAAAATTATATTTAATATATATAAATGAAACTACTAAAAGCAATAATGGCAAAGGGAAATAACTATATACAAGGCATGCAAAATACATTTTTGCTAAGGAAAAAGAGAGCAATTTGTCCTAAATTAAAACAACTAATGGGTCCAAAAATATGTAAGACAAAATGTAAATGGGCATTTAAATTATAAAAGCTTCACAGAAAAGGAATTTTACTTGTCATGGGTTAAACTGATGAAAATTTAATGAAACTATGATTTTCAAAAATGAGCTCTAGTATCAAATATTTTACTGGGACAAAACTAATATTTGGCTTTCTCTGTCAAAATAAAATTTTCTTGGATCACTGGTCTGCTCTTAATAAGAGGTTAGAAGTGGTCTTTCTCTCCTTCTATATAATCTGTCTAAAAGACAAAGATTTTATGTCTTATCAAAATAATGCCCTATCCTTTATGTTGATTTTATCATGTCCTTAATTATTTTCAAGTTTTTTCTATTCTCTTTTTATACGTTTTTAGTCCTATGCATTAGTTGGGCAGGGGGTTTCATTATGACATTTCCATGTTGCTTGCAATGTACATTGGTAGATTCACCCTTTCCTTCAGTTTCTCCCTCATTCCCCTTCCCCTTCTTAAACAATTTTCAACCATTTTGGTTGTTCTGTTTACTTACAAGGATATAAAGTACGTCAAGCATATTCACCCTCTCCTTTCACTTTCCTTCCACTAGCACCTGACCCCTGACAGGCCCTGTTTTACATTCTTGTCCTTCATTTTTAAGTGTTTTAATTGTACAGAGGAGCTTCACCATGTTTATTTCACACATGAAAATATTGTACTTTAATCAGACTAACCTCCTCTGTTACTTTCTCTTACCCTATCCCTCTATAAAGGTGCTAAGATTCTTTATAGTCAGGTAACCTTCTGTGGTTACTTAAATTTTTTTTCAAGATAGGGTCTCCTTGGTATATGGTAGATGGACTTCATATACCTATATGAAAACAGAACTTAGAAAACCCTCTCTCAATTGCTTAAGTGAGTGGGGAGGGGACTGAGCAGGGAAAGATAATGGGGTGATGTACAATATAAATCTAATCAGAACTGTCACTATGAATCTCCCCTGTACAATGAATATATCCTAATAAAAAAAGATAGGGTCTCCTTATGTAGTCCAGGCTGGCCTGGAACTTGTAATCATCTTTTCTCAGCCTCTCAAGTGCTGGGATTACAGACATGATCCACCATGCCTGACTGAAAAAAAAACATTATTACTTTGATTGAAGATATAAACAAGTATTATTTCTCAGTAATCCATAATCCTGTTTAAACAAATGTTCAAGGCCTCCTGACAACTTTTGATATTTTGCCTTCCCAAAATCAAATCTTAAATATATTTTACACCTAAAACTGACAGTGATATTTCCCAGAGGTTCCCTGGAGAATCCCTAAGGATTTGTTTTTTCATCTTTTAACAAGAGAGATATTAAAAATATTTAGGTTTACTATCTTATAAACTTTATTACCATATACGAAAAATGCTGAGCCTTCTTTAAAAATAATAATGGCAGCTCAGTGTAATCCTAGCTCCTCAGGAGGCAGAAATCAGGAGGATCAAAGCCAGCCTGGGCAAAACATCAGCGAGTCATCT